CTGTATAAATATTTGTGTGCAATAAAGGCGTTGGGAAACTGTTGCTTCTCTTATTCAATACCTTAGCTTACTTTATATTTATATACACATATGTACATACATAGGCATGTCTTTAAGAGTATGTGGCTTTACTCGGAACTGACATTGGTTTCTATAAAATTTATTGCTGGTTGTGATGTTATTGGCAGGCAATTTGTTAGCCAACGCAGAACGAAGATTCGTAGTAGCAAACAAAAAATTTCTTTGAAATACATACATATGTATGCAGCTATGTGTGGACATGTGTTCTACATAGTACATATTTGTGAATATGTATGTACATAATTGTATACATATGAACTTATAATTTGTAAAGACACATGCTTCTGGCTACGGCCTTGAGTTTACAATTTTACCTGAAAAATCTTTACTTATCCGGGAGCTCACACCTCCACCAACCTTCGCCCCAATTTTGGCATTGTACTTCTTGGACACCCTGTATCCAAGAATCGTTTCAACTTTCTCTAAACTACCGTTGCATGATAAGCAGCGCTGTTTTTCCTGTTTCAAACGTCTTCGATAATATGTAATTGAACCAAGTTTGGAAGAAATAGATATAGTGGTTACCGAGATACATCTTTGTAATCATAAAGTAGGCGGTACCACGCCCATTTTTTTAAAAGTCTATAGCAGTCTTATTTACTGCTAAGATATTGTTGTAATTATATAGCATTTCTTTACTCTTTAGAAAATAATTTATGCAATCTCACATACGAGGTTTTGCATTATCTTGATTTTGTTGATACGCGGTTTTGTACTTTAAACGACGATATACTATATATTGCAAATATCATGCATATAACAATATTAGAATAAATTTCGTATGTGCCAATCGAAATTGTAAAAAAATGGAATTTTACAGCATTATTCTGTATCACGAACGAAAGGCAACACGAATGCTTCAAAAATTACTCGGGCGGCATCATTCTTGCCGGATAAAACGCACTCAGATGGGTTTTTACATCAGAAAGTATTTTTTGTATAAACTGCAGATTGGTTGTTTTCATTATAAGCCCTCGATATGTATTTGCCAGCTATTCCAAAAATAATTCTTTCCGTACGAAATGGTTAAGTTTGTATAAACCCTCTTTTTCAGAGCAATAGCCCAATTACGTAAGAATGTTACATATGTACATATGTATGTATGTATTTATATATATGCACAACTTATTTATTTGTTCTCAGTGCTAATCAAATCTAATTCTTCATATTTACGTGATTTATTACTGTAGTGTCTACAGAAAATTTCGCTTGAGAGAAGATAAGAAAACTCACGTTACTTTAGTTCACATGCAATTATGAGTGAATCAGTTATTTATAAATTGATAAGGTTATCAAGTATAGATTAGCAGAAGGAAGGAAAGTTTCTTATTCATTAGACTAGGCAGAAAAAATCCTGCAATGGAACCAGAACCCGGCTGATATTTTTGTATTTGATATGGTAATGATCGTCCATGAATGTTCCCTCTCTACGACGATTCTAAGAGCTCGCGCATCGAACGTTTATTTTGTCCATAGTTTCCTAATTTTTTCAAGAGTTTTTAGTGTAAATGATGAAAGGGTTATTAGCTTAACGCCTTTGGGAGGAGTGATTTAACTTCCCAGGTTACGATTTAGTATCACTCTGACCTCTTTCCATGATTTGGGAACATTTCCATTTGGCAGGCATCTTGTAAACTATTTCTTTAATGCAAAGTGCGATGCACGGACTAGAATTGATGTGTTTGTTGCATCATGATTTCCAAGGATTCTTGACTAGAGTCGGCCTATGAGCTATCTGGATCCTGATGCCTTATATTGCCGGCCAATAGGGCAATTCTGGCTAAAATAGTGGAAAGTCTTTTGTCGGACAATTGAATGACAGTAGGTAAGATAGTTTGAAAGGTTTTGTTTGACTGGGTTCACACAGAGAATCTTTTGTTGCTCATTTTCGGCAATTTCTCTTTAGGTGTTACCCTTCGCGTTCACACAGAGCAATTCTTGTTGTCAGCTTTGGACGGCCAACTAGAATTACCCAGACGAACGAGAGTACAAAGCGTGTTGCCCGAGCACGAGCAACTCGGTGCCCCCTTCCCCCTTCCTCGTCACTCCCTCTACGACAAGTAACGAGTTGCCGTAACAAAAGTTTCTCTGCCTGAACCTAAACTTTATTCTGTCACGAAAGATTTACAAAACAAACCTTCCTTTGTTAACTTTCACGGTGAAAAGCTATTTTGACAGAAAGCACTTGTATATCATTTTGCTCGCACTGCTCAAACATTCGCAATGGCTGATTGAGCAAAGCACTGGCAGGCCATACCAGGGATCCGAGGTTCAAGTCTTCGGGAAGCGAAATTTTTTGTGTATTTTTTTTCTATTTTTAATTTAATTTTCTTTTAGGTTATAGATTCGATTGTTTTAAAAGGAAATATATACACATTTTTTAAATTGCCTTTAATTTTGAGTAATTTATTTAATTTTATTTTCTTTTTAATTAAATTTTTAGATTTTATTTTTTTTTTAATAAAAAAATATTTTTTTTTTTAAATTAATTTCATTTCATTTTTAGAAAATCGTATATATTCTTTGTTGTTTTTTAATTTAACTTTTGGTATTATTGTTTCAATTGTTTAAAAGGATAAATATATAGACATATTCTTTTAATATTACGTTATTTTTAGCAACTTGTTCTACTTTTTCTTGTTTTAATTAAATTTTTCGATTATTTATATTATGAAAAAATATTTCTTTTTAATTTTATTTAGTTGTTGGGTATTTATTTTAGTTGCCAGAATTGAGTTGTCTTACGAAAGACTGTGGTGAGTTGAAAGACAGTCCCCAAAATTGTGCAATAAAAACAAAAATTTTCAAATTCACGTGGAGGTCACATTTTGGATATGGGATATGATCTCCAAAAAAGAGAGAACATTTATTTCACTAATAAAAGACAAAGTAAAAAATTGTTTTTTTTTTGTTTTACATAACTCAACTCACCAAAGCTGCTAAAATATTTATCAAATACTCCATCAAAGAAGAACCACCCTGTATAGTTATGTTTGGTGCTTAAAGCTGTTATAATCCTTAGATTATTTGCCATTTATTAAGTAAATCATAATTCTATTTGTTAACTTACTTCCTCTTCCGCTTCCTTTGCGTCGCGCCATATTGTTGAAATCCTATTTGTATGCTAAGGTCGCAGTGAGTGCTCGTCGTATGTGTGTGTGTAGACAGCACGCGTGTGTTCCTTGTGTATGTATGTGTGAGTATTTGCACGAAATTCAATACTTCTGCATACATACATACACTTGTTTGCACTGCTGGCACCGCTCTCCTTATCGTTGTACGTTTTCTTTGCGTAGTCGTTGTTGTTTGTTGTAGTTCATATGCCAACTTTTGTTTTTGTATTCGTTACTGTTGCTTTCAACTTTGTTTCTGTTGCAAGTAGTTAGTAGTCGTGTGTACATTTACGAATGCCTGCTATTCTTGTTGCTTTTTCCAACGTTTCGTCTTTGCTGCTGAATCGATATTAATTCTTGTTTAATCCTTAATGCTTTGAAGGCATAAAGACAGATGTGTCGTTCATTTTGGTTGCTAGAAAGTTGCGCTGATATATTTGTGATGATGAGTGTTGGTGTGGCGGGTTTTTGCTTTTTTACTTGCTTTCCCCGGTTCTTACAAAGTGGGTGGTTATTCGTTATGATATTTTCGTACTGTTGTTATATCTTCTTCTTCTTTTTACTTTTGTTAAGCTACACTTTGCTGCGTTGTTGTTAGGTGATTTGATTTATTTTGCCGAACTTGGCAACCCAGTCGGGGGAAAAAAACAATAAATTGTATAAGAATTCTACACACAATTGAATAACCTACGCAATTGATCGTTGGTAGGTATTTAGCTGTCTTAGTCGGTGCGCAATTGAATCCAGCAACAGTGGGGTGGGCGGCTTCTTCCACATCAACCGTATCGATGACTTGCCACCACCCAGGTGTCTTTTGCCTTTTCTTATTTTATCTTAATTCCTTTTGCCTCTTTTGTTGCCACACAAAGGCAATAAAGTGAAAAGTAATATTAATGTGTGTACGCACACACACTAACACAAAAGCAAAGCTGCACACACACCCACACTTGCGCATACAAAGTATGTAGGAGTGAAGAAGAATTATTGTGTCGTCTAAATAGTCTCGAAATCAACAAAATTACTTAGCAGCTAACGTTGGCCTTATGCGAGTTGTTTTTGTTCTTGCTTTTCTTATATGTAGCTCTTCGCTAAGTGAACTTCGTGACACGCTCGTTTCTTATCCTTCGAAGTGGCTGCTCAGCTCGTCAATGTCCTTGACGTATGTATGTATTATTGCTTTCACTTACTTTTTGTTGTTGTTGGTTTATACATTTTTTTGCTATGTCACCTATCGTCACACACACACCTACATAACTGCACGCTAGTCTATGTGTCTGTGTCTGCTCGATGTCTTAACTGTTTTTACTAGTCACACTTGCTGTTGCTGTTGCTATTGTTTGTGCTTTGGCTGTTGTGGTTTTCCTAGACAATAAATAAACGTCATGCCATTTACACTATTCCACTAGAAATGCGTCTGCGAGTGTGTGTGTGTGTGTGTGTATGTGACTTGTGTATGAAAGAGCGTGAATTTCTCGTTTGTTTTTATGGCATAGCAAACAGTTCCAGCCGCGTTGTAGTCGTAATGTTCATTGTGGGCGTTAGTTGAGTTGTGGATGCCACGTAATTTGCATTGAATGACAACATTGTTATGTTTTTTTTTCAAACTCGTTTTGATTGTTGTTGTGTCAGCTGCTATTTAACCTACTCTGTTTATTTCTATGCAGCTTTGAAGCGGCTCAATCTGCTGTCGGGATTTGTTTTGGATTCATATGTGACTGATATCTGTTATCTTTGCAGCAAATTTAAAAATTTATTTTGTTGTTTCGTAAAGTATTGATTGTGTTTGTAGATATATTTTTTTTTACTTTTTAAACACTGATTTTTTCATAAAAAGTTTCGTTGATATGTGTAATATTTCCTATGTATATTTTCGTTTACATAGTTCGTTCATATATTTTTGATAATATTTTCAACCTGTAAATAAAAGAGAAATGACTTTAAATTAAAACCGCCAAAAGTAGTATGAACTCTAGTTTTAAAAAGGAAAAAAAATTTTACAAATTATCGGCACGAACATTCTTACTGTGGCTTATAAAATAAATATAATTATTGTAAACACTAAATTTTGTAAGCAAACTTTACCCTAAACGTAGTACGATTAATCGGAGCAGCGTTTCGCCATTTGATCATCTCAAAGACATGAAAGGCAAATCGGACTGTCACAGTCACAATCAGGTGTTTTTATCATAAGGAGTCAGTTAGCATTCCCACAAGTTGTCTTTAGTTCCATTTGCTCAATGAATGCATTAAAGTTGGCTAGGCAATCTGAGATTGAGCGCTAAATGCGTTTTTCCCACAACAATAAATTTTACACAAGCGGCTTGAGGAGAGGGTAAGCTACAAAAGCGGTACATTAATTCAATGCTACTTCTGAACATTTTTTCGGAAAAATTTTAACATAATAAAAATTTTTCCAGAGGTGTTTTTTTTTTAAGTGCCTTTGAAAAGTAAATAGTAACAACATTTTTAAACGCACGAGAAGAAATATAAACTTTATGAAAAAATTATCAAAATTAAAGAGAAGGGGCAAAAGTCGCATGATTTTTGAGAAAAGTTTCAGAATATGGCTATTTTTAAAAAGTCGGTGTCGAGGGGCATCGATCTCCAAAAAGTGTCAATTTGACATTTTAGTCACACAACGGTAACATTGTGTAGATCCCTTAGAATGAAGCGGGAATTTGTAACGAGCTAATTTAAAAAATAAAATAATTCATAAAAAGTGAGCTTAAGCTCAAGAATTTGTGCTAAAAATCGAATTGGAGCTTAAGCTAATTTTTTATGCATGAGCTCAGTGGCTTAGTCTTTTCTAATAACTCTCACCAGCCTTTTTATTTGATTCATTAAAATCTATAAATTGAATACCCATAAACGAATATCTTTCAATACCCAAATTTGGGATTCCCTTTTTGATTACACAAAAAAAAGAATGTATATTTTTTAATTTTTTTTACCTTTTGAGTATAATATGAAATTGTCCAATTCCGTTATTCGCCCTTTGATGAACTTTATTCCCGTTAACTAATTAAATTTTCGCACTCCAAGTACGTGCAGCTGTTACAAATCATTAATTATCTAATCTCTGACTTACATTTTTTTTATATTTTTTGTTCTCTTAGTGCTCTTATTTTTTCGCCACCCTTTTGCCTTCTGCTCGAAAAAATAAACAAAAAGTTAAAATGAGTAAAGAGCTTTCGGCTTCTCAAATACCTTCCTGTTTCCTTTTCAGTTCGACCCTCTCTGCCCTCTTCCTATATTTCTCTTTCTAATTCCCTTGCATACTCTAAAGTCCTGTATAAAAAAAAAAAGTAATTCGTAAACACATCTATGTATGTATGTTTACATAAACTTGACTGTTGACTGCGCTGCTGTTGATTCACTTCACTTAAATTGGCTTTATTCAGTTTTCCTTCCTCTTAACTTTTTCTCAAAAGTTTTTTTGCTGGCATCTATCCCAGATGGTATTTTGTTGCTCTTGCTCTTACTGTTGTTCTATTTTTATGTTTTCTTATCTATTTTATGCTCTCATTTGCTGTAACTTCGCCAGTAATATAGTTTTAATGAAGCATGAACAGTTGCGAATGAATGAGCTTCGTCACCCTTGCACAAATGTAAGTAAGTAAAATGCGTGGAAACGTACAACGAGCAACCAGGACACTTTAAGTTTGGGGAATGCCGCACCAAATTTGCTTCAATTTCCACATTTCGGGGCATTTTACTACGAATGGCAGGTGTATGCTTAGAAAATCTTCTATATATTAGTACATGTATCAGCTCTGAGGGTGATTCCTGTTTGTTGTAATGTGATTTGTATGATCTCGCCAAAAACCGGTGCGCAGAGAGAAAATGTGAAAATTATAACCGTTACACTGTGGGTTGGAAACATGTTAAGGCACGCAAAGGGAAAAGTAGGTGGGTGGCATTGGTTTTGATGAGAGTGAATGAGTGGATGAGACCGACTGTAAGAGTGTAGTCGATTAATAAATCAGCGAGAGTTTTGAAAGTAATGCTCAATATTTTTGTGGAGTTGCTACTTTCAAAGCTAATGTATTATTGATGGTGCCGAATATATTGCTGTTATGGACCTCGTATGCAGGAATGCCAATAAAATTTGCATGCTTTTGCAAAAATGGCATGAAATGCCTATGTACATAAATAGGCAATACATATGAAAGAGAACTTGGAGTTTGTTTATTTTTCAAATGCGCGAGTTGCAATTTTCTGCTTATTTAAAAATACCGTTGCAAGTGCAGGTTATGCAAAAAACCATGTATTCCATGGAAATTTGCCAGAGCTTCGCAGGATGTGTTTAAGGGAAATAACAGGAAGACAGCTGTTCGACAACTTGATATTTATCACAAACTATCAGCATTTGTTGTTCGGATTCCCCCCAAAAAAAAACTCGAAAAATAAACGAAATTGAGAAAGTAAAATGACAAATTGTTACTGGAAAGATTTTTACTTGCAGCAAGAAAACAGCTGATCAAAGCCATAGGTCTGAAGTTGATGAAAATAATGAAATATATTTTGACGATTTTAAAGTTTGAAATAACCTATTAGAACTCCAAATGTTTGGGAAGCAAGCAAATACTTCTTACGTTTGCTTAACAAATTACTTTAGGCACACCCTTAATTTACATTCTATCAGATGAACCCTGAACTTACAAGGTTAAAACCCCAAAACCCCAAATGATGCTGAAACACAGCCATTTTTTTTTAAATAAATGGGTTAGTCAAAGGTTTTGCAAAACAGTTTTGCCTTAACCCTTTGAAAAGAGCATTAAAGTGGGTGCGTCTAAAACGTTTTTGAATGTCTATGATTTTTGGTTTGACCGTTAGAAGATTTTGCTTATCAGGGATGCAAAATAATCAGTATTTTTAAAATTTTAACCAAAAAAATTAAAAAGTTGTAATCATCGTAAAATGATTTTTACTGTACTTCAGGTATTTGCATTCGTACGCCCTACTGAAATTTACAATGATTTTTAGCGAAAAAATAAAAATCACTAAATAACTATTATTTGTGATCGAATAAATAAAAATCAAAAGCTAATTATTTCCGTTGTGCGAAAAACTAAAACTCAGTAATAATTATTATTTTTAGGGGGAAAAAATAAAAATAATGATTAAATGCGGATTAAAATTATTTTATTCACACCGTAAAATAATAGAGATTACCGTTGCTTATAAATGTTTAAAAAGTTTCCTAAGAGAAACCAAAAACATTGATTAAGCTTTGGTGATTTTATTTAATTTTCTTTATTGTATTTTATAACCTAAACCATTTTGTTAAACAAAAATATATTTTATTATGTGTATTTGTTTAAATGTTGCAGAACCACCTTTGGCAACATTTTTTTGCGCACAAGTAGTAACAACGAAAATACGCTTAAAAAGTAATTCTTTCCATTATTCAGGTGTTGAGCTTTGCACTAGAAGTAGAAGTTTGAACGGTTTTTGCAATTTACTACTCCAGATTTCTTTATTCAGATTTCCTCCGAAGTGAAGTATGTCGTTTATCCAAGATATCAAAACATTTATGGCAGTCTTACGTTGAACAAAATAGCTTCTGGCTATATAGACAGTTCTCTGGTAAGGTGAGAGCTGTGCCACTTGAATATATTCCTACGATTTATTTTTCCATGATACGACTCATCATTAGTTATCTATATATGTGATGTGGTGGAGTAGATTCGCAATCAATAGCTGGGAATTTAAGCTAGTTTTTATGTACTGCTACCGTCGCTTATCCGCGAAAACCCTTTTTTGGTTATTTGTAGGCTTAAAATAAATGTGTACAGGTATGATATGTAAATTTTTAGGCTTTTAAATGGCATAGTATGCTACTCTTGCCTCTCTTACATAATGGAGCCAATCTTCACTTCTCTCTTGAGGGTATGTCTCGCTATTTCAAGCCGAGGCATTTGCAAAGTCCAAGGCCATTGACCAAGTAGTGGAAAATAGTTGGGAAGGTAGGAGTTTACTGACATATCTGCGGTGGCGGCCTTCACACTAGGAAGGAAATGGTTTTTTTCTGGCTAGCCCATATCACTCGGCTAGGAAGAACTCAGACCAGGTATTCCTCAGCTCTCAAAGCCAAAGTCAAAGTTAGACTCTAAGTGAATACTTCACTCAGCAAATACCGGACTAGGACAAAAACGGATTGCAAGTGTGTCAACTCAATATATAAATGTCTACCTAAGTAGCTGCCTGCCTTCCTTAGCAGATGGGAGTACAGACAGCTTGAGCGATAGCAGACTGGTTGCTTCTCGTGGTACAAAATACCTGACTGTTATCCGCAGGCATGACAACACCAATTGCCGTTTATGGCTTAATGAAGATGAGAGGGCGGAATAATTTTTACGTCTTTCGCAAATCTTTCCTAGGATTATCTAAAATTCTTTTGGCAGCGATGCGAGGAAATTTCTTCTACTCACAAAAATATTTAGCCTCTTGGATTGTGAAGTATTCAAAGGGAACACCCAAAATGCCTGGTTCCTATAAGAGCTATAAGAAAATTAAATGAAAATCTTTCTTTTGCCGGCAATGGACTGGTAACCTCTATAATTTTACCGTGTTACCCGTTGCCAGAACTTGCGGCATTCAAGAGTTTTTCAGTTTCGTATGGGAAGTATTCTGTACACCCATTGGCTATTAAGCGGATCCCTTGTTGTTGTCGAATTAGGGCAAAGGCTCGTTACGATCGTATTACGCATGTTAGCAGATAAAAACTAACACAGGTATGTAGGACTTTAGCAATTTTCCGCAACAAAAAATAAACTATTTACAATATTTCCCAACTAAGAGCTTACAAAAAAAAAAAAACTTTTATGAAAATTTTGCTTTTATATCGATTTGTTTTTATATTAAATAAATTTTGCTTCTATTTAAAATGGCATCGACGAAAGACAAAAGTAGTATATTTCGCCTTAGTGCTAAAATGAGTTTAAAAAATAGTATACTATGAAAAAAAATTGCGTAAGTTTTTAGTTGGAACACCCTTTTTGAATAAAAATGATTTTGCTTTATTGCAATTGCCTTTATCTGCATATGCAATGTGTAATTAAAGCGCTATTATTTAAAAATTTATTATTTGTAGATATTTTGATAATTTTTTCGTTATGTAAAATTCACCAAATTCGGTAAGAAGTAATATTTTAGATTACATTTTTTTTTATCATATTTTTATAATTCTGAAATATTAATAGCTTATATTTCTTTCTAAATTTTTTTAAGAAAGTTTTATCTATGCATGTAAATTCTTATATAAAAAATGAGTACAATCATACCTTAAATTAAAATTCAATTTCCTTTGGCTGTTAGATTAGTTTTTTCCTCACACAAAATTTTCAACACGCGCGACGTCAGAAGTCTACGGTAGATAGTGTACTACAAATCAAAGCATCTCACGCGGATCCAAAATCATATAAAACAAATCGCAAATTAACCGCACTGCTCGCCAAAAACAACGAGGAAATTAATAATCGAAATTTTAAGTACGGTATGTTTTTTGATTAATTTCACTTTCACACAGAAAATGGAAGAGGCTCAAAATCGGGGCAAACTAAATGAAAAAACACAGCAAAAGCAAAAAGAGTATTTTTTTTATTGTTATTTCTGATTAAAGCATTGAATATTTAATTAATTTATAAATTAAGCATTACACGCTTTGCTTGCTGCCACATTATAGCTATTATTGTTGTTGTAGCTGTTTTTCTTTGCATTCACTTTTGGCTCCATTTATTTTGCATTCGCTTTTATTTTTTGTTTTGTTTTGATTTTTGCTTTTGGCCCTCAACAGAACGACAGAAAAGCATTACGTCCGCGCTCTACCGTACGAACGTCCTTCTCTAACGGCGTTAAATGACGAACAAGCCGCCGAGAGTGTGCCGCAAAGAAGTCAAACCGCTTTTGTAGCTTTTGATTAGCAAATGGCATTGTGGGTGTATGCGTGTGGTTTGGAATAAAGAGTAAAGAAATGGCTGTGCAAAGAGTACGTGCGCAGGTTAAGAGCGCGAATGGTTGCTCTTTGTTGGAGCGCTATTTGCCGGGTACCTGAAGATTGGGGGCTCTTTTTTTTGTGAGTTTTTACTATTTGGCGACATGTTCGCTTGGATTTGGAGCTTGTATGTATATACATATATAATTGCGGCGTAACATGTTCGGTGGGCATCAGGCAGTGCAGTTTTTTGGAAATGGAAAGGGCGGTTTATTTGAAATTGAAGAATTTACGTTATTGTTCAAATGGCAATTCTAAGAGTATATGTACAGTTTGAAAGCTATATGAACTTTCCCTATCTTATTTAGATACATTTCAGACTTCAGTGTAAATGCAGGCAAAACAGATCGAGTTACACTTTCCAGAAAGTACAAAAAACGGGAATGAAGAAAGTCTGAGTTAGGAGGCGTTTATTTGGTGCAAAATGTCTGGAACTAAATGTGGAGAAAGGCGTGAAAGAGATTTGGGTGGGTATTCACCGCGATTGTGCAATCAGACTGTTCTACGATGTACTAATATGGTGGTCAGCAAAGAGTAAGAAGCGAAAGGGGTGAAATGCGGGCGTTGCTTAGTACCACAGCAACCGACAAATGCAGTGAGGATCGTTCTTCACATCCCATCAGCGGATATGGCTTCTAATAATAAGGTCCCTCAAAAAGTTAAACAGCGTCTTCGGACGTAGCCTATACTTCTGCCGCATCCTCTGCAGACTGCATCACACTCGGTGAGAGCGTGGAGTAGTTTCTCGCTCTTCGAGTCGCAGAACCGGCAAAGGTCGCTTGACCCAATCACCAGCTTTTGTAGATGTCCTATAAGTCTGCAGTGATCTGTAAGGATACCTGTTAGAATTCTTATTTAGCATCTTTTTTTTATGGAGGAAAATGTGTAAAACCTTTTTCAAAGAAAATTAATAAAATAACGCCAGTTTTGCAATCACTTAAAACTTGCACTTTATAATACTAAAATTTAATGGGCTATGAAACTGCATACTCAGAAAAAATTCTAGAAAAAATTTAAAACATTTGTAAATTTGTAATGTACTCATTTTACTCAACTTCGGTGTAAAAAAATTTCATAACTCAAATTATTGTAGAGTGCACCCCGTAATACTATATTTATTTATTGCGCAATACTCAGATCTACCATTGTGATTTTTTTGAATTTTTTTTTAGATGGCATATTTTCAAAAACTAATTTTCTTTTTATCAAAAAAATTTTATGTGAAAAATTTTTTCAAGAAAAAGAATTTTAAAAATATTTATTTATTTTTCCTTCGCCTCGTTCTCGAGATATTTGGAAAACTATTGAATCGATTTGTTTTTGTTTTTGTGCTGTAAAGGTTTTAAAAATGTATTAATCAAGCTCAAATTTCATACTTATTTATTATTTCCGTTTGTTCATCAACTCTAACAATTTGAAACAAATCAAACACACGAAGAGTATGGAACGCCCCATGTACAAATGTATATTAAACCGTGTCAACTAAAACGAAAATTTTTTCTTTCGCTCCCATATGAAAATTTCGTTGTCGGTTAAAAAACTATAATTGTGGCAAGATTTCAGCCCTTTCTCTTAATTTTTCAACTAGCGCAAAAAAAAGAATTTGTAGTGAAATATTTTTTCCCCGCTACTTTTTAATAAAAAAATTAAAAATAACAAATAAAAACATACCATTTTAGCCCATCCAGTGTGGCTATAATAACTGTGAGTTTGAAGTAGGTAGTACTTATCGCTGATTTTTGGATATTTTTTTTTTTTTATTTGTTCCTATATAAAAAAGTCGTCGAACATACTTCGTCGAAAATGACTGACACCATCAACCAAACAAAAATTCCCAAAAATAAACGGTAAGTCCGCAGTACTTAAAACTTACACTCATTATACCAAAATTGAATGGGCTACAACAGTGCTTCTATATTTTTTATATTGAATATTTATTTCATTAAAAAAAAAATGAAAAATATTTTTTTGAGATCGACAACGAAATTTTTATATGGAACGGATAGAAGAAAAATTAGTCGTCTTATTTGACACAGTCCAATATATATAAATATATTCGTACATATCACTAGGCGAACTCCTTAGCTCAAAAATCTCAAATACTAGAAAAATAGCCTTATGGTGTTTAGTTATGCTTGTTTGCATTGAAAAAAATAACTACTAACTAAAAAATATTGCAAAATTTACTTTAAACGGAATGCTAAGAAAAAAACTTAATTTGATTCCTTTATTTGGTCAAAGAGTGATTATTTGCCAGCAAAATTGTAAGAAAGACAACTTTCCTTCTTGTTTTGAGATACGATTAACAAATACCGGATTTTTTTTTTTTACATAACAATATTAGGTTTTTCGATCAAACGAGCGAAATTTAGTAAGATCGCATTTCTTCCTGGAGAGTTATAAAAACCTTATGAAGGAACCTTTTTGCTTGCTAAATGTTTGTTTGATTATTTTTTAAACGTTATAAGAGTTGTCAAGCAACTTAAAATTAAAAGAATGATTGGCTAAATCCTTTTGATTTTGTTGAAATACTTTTCTTCTATCTTATAAGGCGTCAATGCTATACAAAAATTTATAATTCTTGTTTGAGTTCAGGAAAAATCAGTTAATCAGTCCAGATGACTCCCAAAGTATTACATTTTTCTTTGTAAAGAAAGTTGCATGCCACTTAGTCACTAATCGCTGCCACTTGCATGAAATTATAAAGTTTTCACAAACAAAATACTTTACGAGTGTTTTTAATTCAGTGCGCTTTACCTGCAGCAAGATTTCCGTTCTTACGTTTGTTGTAGTGGAGAAAGTTTTATTTTATGCTCTAAGGATCGGTCATTATCATACTCACATTGCTATGAAAGTTCATGGAACGAATTTCGCAACTTTGCTGACTGCGAAATTTTCAGCAGTCCTTCATTTACATTAATTTAGTTCAGTTTTTGCTCCCTCCATTTTTGCGACGCTTTTAGCCACCACATTTTTGCTACCGTGTCGCTTGAATTAATTTAAATTTATATTTAATGGCTTAAATTAAATTAAATGTCGCACGTAGTGCGTAAAAAACTGTTGCAGCTAATAGCGCGCAGGCCATTGAACGGTCGGCCGCCCACCTTTATACTGTCACATCAAATCACATCAGCAGCAATGATACTCATACGCCCCGGCCGTCAGCATGCAGATGAATCGATATTTGCATAAATACATACATACCTAGGTATGCATGTAAAATGTACTTCGCTAAAAAAAAAAACGTGAAACCACGAAATGTCAATGTCAGCTTGCGGCTATAACTGCATATTGACATTACGCGAACAAATTTGTTCACATGTATGTATGTATGTAAATTGTTGGCATTTTTTTTGTGAGACGCTTAATTGTTTTAACCGAATTAAGAAAAGGTGTGAGAAATTCTTGAATGAGGTGTGTTAAAGAAGCATCAAAATTTAGATATGCGAAGCAGGGAGCTTATCAAACGCGCGGCACTTCATCGCAATTAATGCCGACAAGAAGGCGTGTAAAAGGTCTTTCGCTTTTTACATAATTTGTTTTTGTTTTTTGTTTGTTTTTTTGAAATCTGAACTTTGTTGATGTTGTTTGTTGTGGATTTTTTTTTTTTTAAATTGTGCACTCGTGCCTACAGCCAGCAGCTATAAAAGTTTCGTATGTTTTAAAGGCGCACATAGCGCAGCTAATTAAATGATATGCGTAGCAACTAAGTGGAAGCATAAAATTCGTCAAAAGAGGAAGGGATGTAAGTGTACCTAAAGAAGGAAGTAATTAAATTTCAGAGTGTAAAGCATTTAACTTAGAAACGGGGGAAGGAGGATGAATGTGAGTTTTCAAATTCAATTAGCAAGAGGAAATTTTACACCACCTGGAATGTTTTAGAATTTGAGAACTAATTACATAATTTTTCTTTTTATATCTTATTTAGATAACCCACAGTTATTAAAACAAAGAATTTTCGTTCACCTTAGACTGGCTTCCGGCATAGATTACAGGCCAACAATGAGGATTTGTATATTGAGTTACCTTAACCCACCGTTTAAAATAATAAATTTTGGTGTTGTTTAAATGACTTCTATAGAAGGAAGTACAATTAAAGCGTTACGCAAACTCTCTATACTTTTGTGAACATGAAATGGTATAATAACTTTGATTCGATGCTTGCAAGTACCAAAAGAAGAAGAAATAGACATGTCCGTCTGTCCGTGCGAAGGTAAATTTTACAAACAGAAAATTTTAAATATTCACGAAACCATGGGCCAAATATAGTAAAACTACGTTTTTATGTTTTCTCTCTGAAGTCAAGATTTTTTAAAGGACTTTGAAATTCCAAAAATATAATCACTTCAAAAAAATTATTAAAAAAATTTTGTGCAATGTAGAAAAACTCATGTGACTATCAAGTTAAAGAGAAATTTCTGTAGAATTAAGGCCCATTAAATTTTTTGGTGCACACGGACAATTAGGTATTGAAAATATCTTTTTAACATTTTAGCATTGAACATACTTGAAATTTTACAATAATTATTTTCGAACAAATTATACTCGACTACATCCTTAAATTTCGCAGTTAGAAACTGTATTCGCTTAAAAAAAATAAAACTAATTAAAAAGACATTTTCAATCACTATACCTAAATAGCCCTTTCACAGCTTTGCGAAACTTTTTCCACTCCATGCCAATCCCTCATCAAATTTGTGCGTCGAATGAAAGCCGTAATAAATGTCAGAAATAGTGCCTTCCTATTTTCGTACTGTAATGACGTCTGCCTTGTATTTTTTCCAAGAAATCCAGCTGTTAGATAAGGTATTTTCCCTACAGAAAATTCTAGGTAAATATCCGTAAATCATTTTACATGTTCCGTATG